AACATCTACAAAGAAAAATCTCCAATATATAGGCCCAAATCTGATTTGATTATTTTTTTAAAGATCTTTCATATCTTTTATTCACAAGAGGAATTCAAACAGACAATAAATATATAAAAAGATAGCCTGCTATGATAGCACACACCTTTAATTCCAACACTCTGGAAGCAGACACAGGTGGATCTCTGTTCCAGGCCAGTCAAGTCTGTATAGCAAGCTCCAGGCTAGCCAGGATTGCACAATGAGAACCTGTCTCAAAAAAAACAGCAATAACCAAGAAAATGTATATCAAAACAAGATGATTTTCAGACCTCAGACTAGCCAAAATGAAAACTAATAGTGCCTAATATAAGAAAAACTTTTTTTGGAGACAGGTTCTCCCTGTAACCCCAGCTGGCCTGGAACTTGCTATGTAGACAAGGTGGACCTTGATCTTACAGAGATCCACCTCTGCCTCCCAAGTACTGGGACTAAAGGTGTGTGCATAGAGCCTACAAAATATTTTTTTTTCACATAGTGTGGGTAAGACTATAACTTAGTAGTCTTTTAGGACAATTTGATAGTATCCATCAAAATCAAGATGAAAAAAGCATGTCACACCACATCTGGATTAAAGGCATGCACTACCATGCCTAACCCTTTTTTTTTTTTTAAATTTTTATTTTATGTGTATAAGTGTTTTGTCTGCATGTATGTAAGTGTAGTACATGCCTTGCAGCACCCTCAGAGACCAGAGGAGGGCATAGAATCCCCTGGAACTGGAGTTACAATAGGCTATGTGCTACCATGTGGGTACTGGGAACCCAAACCAGGTCTTCAACAGGAGCACTAAGTGCTCTTAACCAGTGAGCCATCTCTCTATCCTTTTTCTTAATGATTAAGGAAACTTAACCACACAAGGGATTCTCTATCAGTAGAACCAGGTTCTAAGCCTGGGTCTGTCATATTTTGGCAGATAGTCTTTACAAAAATGTTGGTTTGTCACAATACTGCTTATATCAACAGTGGTACAAGAAAAGTTAACTTTTCACCACTATATCCAAAATTTCAAAGAGAGAGAGAGAAAGAGAGAGGATTAACAGATTATTTCAATTTCATTTATTAACACCAGAGTGGTAAATACCATTTGTGATATTTTTTTAAATAAAGGTTTTTCTTCTTTAAAAAAATTTTTTTTTACTTTATGTGTATTTTGTCTGCATGCATGTAAGTGCACCACACATGCAAGTGACTATGGAGGCCAGAAGAAGATGTTGGATTCCCTGAAACTGGAGTTAAGGACAGTTATTAATTTCCATGTGGGTGCTGAGAACTGAACCTGGGTCCTCTGGAAGTGCAGTAAGTGCTCCTAACTGCTGAGCCACCTCTCCAGCCCCTATTTATAATCTCTTAATTAAATAAATCTAAATTAAAAACATCTATAGAGCTCAGTAAGGCAATATTTATTAATTTTAAAACATAGGCAGGCACATCAAACCCATTTTTCCCCACTAGTACATATACATATTTCACATTAGTATGTGACTAAAATATATCCTTGTATGGAGAGACTAAAGACTCACAAATTGAAAAAGGTATTATTTTGGTTTAGTACCCACCTATAGACTTCTGAACAATCTTTAGTTCTATTAATTTCACCATCAAATATTAATGTGGACTTAAAAAGAAAAAATTCTAAAGTTTATAAGGTATCTTAATAGGCAAAAGACACTAAACTCCATATATAAATTATAAGGTAACTGATCCTAGACTCTCAGACATTAGGCTAATATTTTCACATTGACCTTTACATGAAAATATTAAAATGAGCTGGGTACCACTTAGTTTTAAGTACAATCTGTTCATGTGTTAAGTCTGTTGGCAATATTTTTCAAAGTAAAAAAAATAATAAAATTTTAGTAGAAAGCCTATTACTGCTGATAAAGTAAATTTTATCTGCCTATTAGCTTTACTAATATAGTTAAACCCTTGGTCGGAGGTTAAAAATACAACTTTTAAATAAAAATCACTTTTTAATTTAACCACTACTGACAGATTTTTATGTTAGAACCCTTCATTTCGCCTTCTCCTGAAGGTCTACTCTTTTAAGGTCCCAAGTATCCAAGGTCAGAATTTCATTTTTAGGCTCCTCAGAGTTATGAAGAATTCTTGTTAAACTGTTATGCTAAGTTCTTGCCAATGGCTTTTGGAAGAAACACTAATAACTGGTCAATACCAACACTATAAATTCTGGTCCCCTAACGATGATCAAATAATAAATGTAGAGGAGGCTGGAAACCAGAAAGCAAGAACCTGGAGCCAAACTTGTCTAATCCTCCCACCTATGGAGTTGTGAACCTGTGCATCAGAAAGCACGTGTAGAAGTTAGGCAAATGATTTTGAACCTTGGTGAGAAGCTTTGGGGAAGGCCTAAGGAACTGAGGTAACAAGGAAGCAGGAAGGAACAACTCTGAGTTCTGTCCATTATCACCCTCAAACCACCAGTGGACAAAAGTAGAGTCTGTAACAGACACTTCCTCCACAAAACCTCTTCAGTTGGGCGACTCAAGAGCAACTGGCCCAGAGAAGTGTAGGCAGCTGGATTACTAGGTACCACTGCTTTCCATCTCTTCTTTTTTATATATACCTCCTTTCTCAATGAGCAGCACAGGTTTTTTTTTTTTGGTCTTTTTGAGACAAGGTCTCCCTGTAGCCCCAGCTGTCCTGGAACTCACTATGTAGACCAGGCTGGCCTTGGACTCACAGGGATCTGCCTGCCTCTGCCTCCCAAGTGCTAGGATTAAAGGCGTGTGCCGCCACGCCTGGCGATGAAGCGCAGTTTTTAATTCCAAAGTATACTTACAAGCGTGGGCTTTTTCCAATGATGTTCTTTCACACAGGAACATTAGCACCAGAATCTATTACTAGAGGGCTACCTAACACCAGAGTCATTAGAAACAAACAAATTCTCTGTCAGATTGACAAGATTCTTAGAAGATCAGCAGAGACCAGATTCCCCTAACACACTGACTAAATATGAATAATGACTGGAAACAAAGATATACATCTATTATAGGGCAGCAGTGCATATCACCCAAATGCCTAGAAACAAGCTTTTTAAATGTGCTCCTATAGTTAAGGTAAAGGAAACATTTTTCTCTTACAGATCCTAGTTTTTTTTCATTTTCTTCAATTGTAAATATTTATATAGATAACACACAAAGCTCAATGCATAAATAACATGACTTTTTATAACAATTCTCTCCTCTTTTACTTTTAATATCAGATAACCTTAAATACACAATCTACTAATATCAAATGCATATGCATGTAACAAGAGCCATATCACTATCCTTTCATTGACATATCTTGAAATAACATCAATAGATTGGAAAGGTGAAGGGACAAGAGTCGGGGGAGCACTTGTTTAATCTTCCTTTGAAATATTTTCGAAGTCTGTCTTTCCTTCTTCTGCAAAGCCTTTCTTAGAAGATGTAGGTCGTTCAGAAGGAAATGGTTAAAGCCACAGATCTCTTCTAGTGCTCTTGTTGCAAGATGGCATCATCTCAAGTACTAGAGCACCATCTAAAAGCACAGTATATACCACCAAACACTTTACAGAAGGTTTTTCTGGAAACTGACCTTTATGTCATTTGCTTTCTCACACTGTATATGTTGGTTAATACTGGGGGCGGGGCGGGTACTGTGGAGTTTAAGACATTTTTAGAGATTTTAAAGACAATCTTTAGAATAACTGCCAACCTAAACAATCTTGTATAGCATAGTCTCTCATTTTCTGCAAATGCTGACTGATTCTGATGAAACTGATCTGTAGGGCCTGCAGTTTAAACAGTGTATATGAACTGATTGCTCATAGCTCACTTGAAGAAACTCAACTGACTGTATACTGCAAAAGGCCTCTGCTGGGGCCTTGGGGGGAGCTTGTGTAAAGGAGGGTTTAAAATTTAAGCTTTGTTTACTTAACAGTAAATTTTTTTTCACAAAATTAAGCTTTATTTATGATTGGAATCATTCAACAAAAGCAAAAGCAAATGAGCCTGAAAAAGGAACTAAACTGTTGTCAAATAGAATGTCCTCAGAACATTCGAGACCTCAGTAGCTAAGCTGCCTCTGGACCTGACTGGCATGACAACAGCAGCTCAACATACACAGCAGTTGCACTAACAGCAGCACAAATTTTCCCCCTAAATCTTTCCCAAAATAAAGCAAGAAAACAAGGGGAGGATGTAGACTCTGCCAAGTAAGTGTATTTAAATACTGCATGGAAGTGTTAACAGCCTGAACCTTTTCCCTCATTTTTGATAGTTGCAGATTGATGCAGTAACTGTCATTTAGCAAATGCAGAATGCATGACAAAGAAATTGGGTGGTCATAAAAATCCAAACAGGAATGATACTGATGAATGTTCTTGGTATATCTTCAAGGACTTCTCTCATGACTATTCTTTGTCTAAGGATAGCTCCAACATTACCAAGCACCTGAAGCAAAGGTAAAGCAGCTAGCAATGTTCCAAATATTCAGTCACTCTAGAGATAGATTTCTGGCCTGTTGTTCCAACAGCACAAGTAAGATTCATGAAGGTTAGGAACTTTTTAAGCATCTCTGTCATTATAGAGTAGTCTCCTTCTGGCAGATATTCCAGCACAGTAGTTACATTGATTGGACTCTCCTGGCAGAGACACCCAAGCAGTAGAGCTGTGTGGGAGGCCACAGTAAATTTATTTTTAATGTCATAGATGTTCAAAATGTATTATGGAGGTTAACAGATTAATTCCAATGACACAGCCATAAGAACATGGTGTTTTAGTCACCATCATATTTTAAATAGTGAATGACATATCAAATAATGAATAATGTACTGAAGGTCACAAAGCAGATTATTATTCAAAACTGTGTGATTTGGGGGGAAAGCTGGGACACTAAAATGTTTGTACTTAAAAAGCAAGGCAAGCTAGGCGTGGAGGCGGGTGGATCTTTGTGAGTTCGAGGCCAGCGTGGTCTACATAGTGAGTTCCAGGACAGCTGGGGCTAGGGAGACCCTGTCTCTAAAAGACAAAAGTCGAAAAGACAAAAAAAAAAAAAAAAAAAAATTAGTATAATGTGGATTCTGCTTTATTGGGAAAGAAATTGCAAGATAATCATTGAATCAATCTTGCTTTACAAGTCCACAGGGCAAAAGACCAATAAGGGTGATAAGCATGCCTTCTTCTTGAGTTCTGGCCACCTTGCATTCTTATTACCATACCCAATAAAATGCAGACTAGCCTAAGAACAAGGAATGTAAGCTCAACGGAAAGGATTCATCCCACAGGCAAATGCTCCCTCTGCTTTTCTAAGTATTACATTCCTCTTCTTTGCCAGTACTCATGAAATCACTAGAGAATTTTTTTAGCTAAAAAAATTCCTCAGACCACCGGCTAACTCTCCTAGCCTGCACTACTATCCTCAGGCCTCTTGGGGTAAGTATATAGCGCAGCTCTCCGCACGGGACTCCCTAAGCCTCATTCACCCTTCCATTCCCCGCCCCCCGCCCACCGTTCTATACTCCTAGTTTGGACCCTGCGCCATTCCTACTCTCGGGGCCCCATCACTAGATATTTTTTTTAGCTAAAAAAATTCCTCAGACCACCGGCTAACTCTCCTAGCCTGCACTACTATCCTCAGGCCTCTTGGGGTAAGTATATAGCGCAGCTCTCCGCACGGGACTCCCTAAGCCTCATTCACCCTTCCATTCCCCGCCCCCCGCCCACCGTTCTATACTCCTAGTTTGGACCCTGCGCCATTCCTACTCTCGGGGCCCCAGACACCTGGGGAACCAATACTGCTTCCTGACCCTTCTCACCCAGAGCAACTAAGTCCTTTTCTTGGGCTCCAGGACCACCGCTTCTGGTCCTGGCCCTGCCCTCATCTCCCTCTACTTCCCTGGTCCTGCAACACCTGCCAGCCTCTTTCT